TTCTTTGGCTTAATTAGGGTAGAAACTTAAACTTTGGCCTTCAATTATTAGGAGAGGAAGCTCTCCTTACAGATTTGTTCTAGCATGAGTTCTGCGGTCTTGTAATACAGTTCAATATATTGCTGATTTTAGTCACAGCAGGCTGGAACCTGTTTCCCTTTTTTTCACTCAGATGTTGTGGGCTGTGGAATCACTGTTTTGGAGAGTCACTGAGTATTTAACTAACTCATACAAAGCAGAATATCTCTAGCAAGAGACTGCCCAAACCCCTGTTATTAGGACTGTATACATGAAAGCTAGGAGATGGAAATTTGGGGCTGGCTGTGGATATCGCAGAGGAGGGATCCAAATTTCAGTCTTTGATATCTTAGCTAACCAGTGTGGCTGTAGGTCATGAGGTTGGATGACTGCAGCATGTCACTCTCTCTCTTCTTCCTCCTCCTCATTGTTCTCTCTACTTGTGGCTAGTCCCAAAGTTGCCCTGTGAGTCCAGTCTTTCATTTCTGGATGTCCTCAAGTGCATAGGAATCAAGTGAAGGAAGTGCTCCAATCTTGTTCTGCACCAAGCTGAACCACCGCTGTTGTGGTGTAATAAATTCTGCGCACAGAAAGGTAGTCCGCTGGGATATCTTGGAGCCAGAATCTCCAAAATCTTAATATTCAAAATGTTGCTTGAAGGGAAGGGGTGATGTCTTGGTTTTGTTATTGATACCTGTATGTGTTGCTGTTTACTTGTGCGATTGGTGTTTGGATTTCAGGTCTTGTCTTAGTAACATTCCTTAGTATTTTTAATTAGCAGTGTTCTCTTCCAAGTCCTTTTCCGTATAAATAATTGTTACCTGGGATAAAACTGAACAGATGGTTCCTGCTCATACACAGAGTCCTATCAGAAACTGTTAAATAGGTTTTGGTGCGAAAGTAAAGTTAGTTTGAGCGATATTAATTGTGCAATTAGCAGTGAAGGTTCTTCTGTATGCTTATAAGTATTAAACCAGGAAAGTCCTTGCCAAATATAGAGATACAGATTCAGCTGAAAAATTATTTTTGTTTCCAGGATGCATAGAGGACATTGTCATTAGTGCTGTACACACCTCTTATGCAATTATATTTTTTTTTGTACAGCATCTGCAGGAATAGAGTGTTTAAAAGTGGGCTTCATCTCACCTAATTCTTGGTGGTTAAAAGTAAAGTGGTAAAGTGTCTCTGCTCCTTCCCATGATAGCTGAGGCGAGACAGGTATGTCTGTTGGTGATTCATGCCACCCTAAATGTGGTGTCGAAGCTGCATGGGATGAATTTCTCTCTGGTGGTGAGCCATTTGACCTTTAAATGGCAGCAGGTGAGATGAGTCCTGTCCACAATCAATAGGAAACAGAGGTTCTCCAATGAATGTTGTGTCCTTCAAATAGGTGGTTGTCTTATGGGGGTTCTCTTATCTCTGTTTCTCTTTCTCTGTTCTCTTATCTCTGCTTTATTAGGTTGTCAGATTAACCCCTCCATCCCCAGAACTTCCTTGTCTGTCTCCAAGCAATTTCTGTCTGTGTTTAAGGGAGGAAGAGGAAAGGAAAATAATTAGGGTAGTTTTTTGTTTGGGTGTTTCTGTTTGGCTTGTTTGTTTTGTTGTTTGTTTTTTTTAATCAAAAATGAGCTTTCTAAGTAAGACAAAGGATTTTGTGTCCCCTTTTATAAGGAGAGAAAGAAAAAGCAAAGATCACTCAGTATGTTAGAACAGAAACTAATACCTCAGGGACTTGGTACACAATAAAAGTTGCTTGGCCAGTAGGTTTTACTTAGCAAGATGAAATTTCTTTTCAGAGCAGAGGTCAAATGTCTAAGGATTGTGGAGGATGTGCTGGAGAGGTAGGAACTCAAAATGTTATTAGGAAGAAATGTCTTACTTCTCTGGAGTGTAGCAGTGACCCAGCCTTCCAGAAGCTATTTACCTGTACGTATACTTTCATGCTTTGTAGCTTACATGTGGTTTTTTTTCCCTTATACTTACATTCTTTTGGTGAACAATGGATCTTCAGGATTCTTGATTTAGCCTGTTGTTAGATACGTACATAGACAAAAATAGAAAGTCTAACCAGCAGTCAAAGTGACAATTACAAAAAAACCATGAAAGGGGGCCAAATAATAACAGCAGCAGCCAAACCTTAACTGTTTCGGGAACAGAACTTTGGCAAAATTAGTTCTATGGATTGCTCATAATGAATTCAAGAGAATAGTTTGGAAGTGTAAGGACTGGGATCTGGTGTCATCCTTCAGACTTCCTTACAGAGTCTGTTGGGGAAATCTTTTTTGGTTTTAAAAAAGGAAGTGTCATGAAAGATTGGCTTATTAAAGTTGACACACTAGAATAAACTGGTGATTCATGTTAGTGGGAAGTGGAGCAGTATTCATTTTAAGTGTACTGAAGGAGTTTGGTGAAGCTGCTAACGTACAAAAATATTCTAATTAAAACCAGTTAGAAAATGAGGTTGCAGTAAGTGGTATTTGTATCTTCAACAATTGGGGGAGGACAATCTGAATGCTTCCTTACATAATGTTTTGCTAACCTCTGGGGCTCAATGCCGTATGATACCTAATCAGAAGAGCTTACCATGGTTCAGAAATAGTTGGACTGTTGTATGTATAGCATTCATTTATACAGGAAAAAAAAAACCCAACCATAAACCTGGTCGCTAGATTCACAGCCTTATTTTATTAAAACCAATTGAGTCAAATTAAACGTGATTGTTAATAAACTTCACACAGCAGTACAGCTTCTGTGAAGGAAAACTGAGTTGTGCGCATCTGTGCAGATTAACATTAATGAAGTGGCTTTGTCTCATACATTTCTTAAAAGCCTCGAAAGTAACACAGTCTGGTTTTCAGTATGCTGCAACTAATTCTAGGTATGTTTTAAGATTCCATCTTTGCACAGCTGTTAAATATACTTACTCATAGACTTGAATAATTTAGTAGTAGCTGAATGGTATGAGTTGTATAAAACTTGTGATTGGTTCAAAATTACTTAAGTAGCTGAATATCAGCGAAGATTTGTGGTGTTCCCTTGGGATCCCGACAAGGGTGGGCACCTGACAGTCTGTGACACAGCCCAAGCTGAGGCCCGTACAAGCGTGTGTATATCACGGGAAGTGTTTTATTCTTTAGTGCCTTCTAATCATAGAATAGATGGCCAGCAGGTCGAGGGAGGTGATTCTGCCCCTCTACTCAGCTCTGGTGAGACCTCACCTGGAGTACTGCGTCCAGCTCTGGAGCCCTCAGCACAAGAAGGACATGGAACTGTTGGAACGGGTCCAGAGGAGGGCTACAAAAATGATCCGAGGGCTGGAGCACCTCTCCTATGAGGACAGGCTGAGAGAGTTGGGCTTGTTCAGTCTGGAGAAAAGGAGGCTACGGGGAGACCTGATTGCGGCCTTCCAGTACCTAAAGGGGGCCTATAGGAAAGATGGGGAACGTCTTTTTAGTAGGGCCAGCTGTGTTAGGACAAGGGGAAATGGTTTTAAACTAGAACAGGGTAGGTTCAGGCTAGAGGTAAGGAAGAAATTTTTTACAATGAGGGTGGTAAAACACTGGAACAGGTTGCCCAGAGAGGTAGTGGAGGCCCCATCCCTGGGAACATTCAAGGCCAGGTTGGATGGGGCTCTGAGCAACCTGATCTAGTTAGCAGTGTCCCTGCTCCCTGCAGGGGGGTTGGACTAGATGACCTCTAGGGGTCCCTTCCAACCCTAAACATTCTATGATTCTATGATTCTAAACCATGTCCCTGCAGCTGTGTGTCGAGACAAGTCCTCAGGCTTGGAGCAGTGGGTAGTGTTTCAGTCTCACACTTAAAATGTGCTAACAGTACTCAAGCAAACAAAAGTAGCGTTGGGTTGAAGTACGCTGCTAAATTCTGGTCATCTGTTTAAAAATAGAAGGGAAAGATTCCTACTGGTGTTGGAAAAAATCAGAATTGGGTAGGAGTGAGTTAGTGAGGATATGTATATGCCATCATTAATAATTGCAGGAAGCAAGGTGGGTAGTGTTTATTTTGACCACAACACAAGAACAGAGGTACATTCAGTACCTGGAAAATTAATTAAAAACTGCTTCCTTGTTCCTTACATAATGTCTTGCTAACCTGTGGAGCTCAGTGCCGTATGATAGCTAATCTGAAGAGCTTAATAACGTTCAAAAATAATTAGACTTTTGGAGGGATACCATCCTCTCTTATCTTATACAGGAAAAAGATAAACTCTCCAGCTTCAAAGACAAGTTGGTAATGACCAGGATTCAAAAAACTTGACTGTCAGCCATTGCTCATTAAAAAAGCTTGAGTATCGGTTGTTGCCACTGCTTGGTTAGGAGAGGGAACAAGGGCAGACAATCTGCTGAAGAGATCACTTGCTGAAAAACACTTTTGCAAATGGTCTGTTGTCTGGGCTGCCTTGATTTTGCTTTGAAAGTATAAAACCTCCAGGACCACAAGTGAAATGACATGTTTTATATACGTCTTATGTCGGGATGTTTGTTTGCACGTAAATTCAAACACTGCAGTGGGGCCTATCATCAGAAAAGCAACTAAAATTAGTGTTACAGTTATTGGTAGATTTGTATCATGGCAATACTCATTTGGATTTTTTTTTCTTTTTTCTTTTTTTTTTTTTAATTGGAGATGTATGTTTCCTATGTGTGACTTGTGGTGGCATTGCATGCCTCCTACAGCAGGGAGAGTGAGTGAGATTGCTTGCTTGTTTGCTTATCAACACCAAGGCATCGGTTGTGGAAACCCTGATGCTGCTGCTTGTACTTGAACCAAGGAGAGAACAATGTAACTGTAAAATTACCAGTTGATACAAAAATGTCTTGCGTTACTTTGCAGAATCTAACAGATTTTTTTGTATCTTATGTTGTAAAACCAACTTATATGATCAGATTTATTGTATTAATTTGTTTCAGGTCTTAAGTGATTTAAATTAGCAAGCATCTTAAAGTTATCTGCATTTTTTGCAGGGCATTATAGAAAAATCGAAAGTCAAAGGAATTCCTATCATTATTGATGCTGTAAGTATTTTCTAGATTCAGTCAATGGTTTGACATTTAAGAATCTATTCAGTAAATGTTCTTCTTACTGGTTTTTGTAGGATGGACTGTGGCTCATTTCCCAGCAGCCTTCTCTTATTCAAGGCTACCAGCGAGCTATTCTTACCCCAAACTATATGGAGTTTAGTAGACTGTATGAAGCCATGGTGAGCTGTTTTCCTTTTTGATATTTAAGTACGTGTAAGTTTAATCTTTTACTCTTTGAAAATAAACAACTAATTACTGGGTTAAACATGATGTGCCATTTCTTATATGCAAGAGAAGCATTCTTCTGGGTTTTTATTCCATGGGATAACTGCCACAACAATGCATATTCTTAAACAGAGCTCTTGTTTCAAGAAGACTCTTCTCTTACGCATTTTTCTGGCACTGCAGTGGATATAGAATAAAAATACTTGGAAAGACTGATGATGATGTTTCCCTCCCCCCGCCCCCATACATATGCTGAAAGTACCATGTGTTAGCGATGTTGTTCTGGTAGCAAAATATGTACTGTGTATGGAATTCTTGTGTTGTAGCTTAGAGACCCCGTAGACAGTAGTGATCATCATGGATGTGTATTAAGACTCAGCCAAGCCATGGGGAATTTGACAGTTGTTCAAAAGGGAGAAAGAGATCTTATTTCAGATGGAGAGAAAGGTAAGTGAAGCCTTTTGCTTTTAGCAATGTCATTTTTTGTTCGTTTGTTTGCTTTCAGCGTAGTCCAGTGGTTGGACTATATATAGTAACTGATTGACTGTATTCCCCTGAAGATTGAAGGGAAGGGATGCCTGTCCTTGCAGATCACCTTTAAATGATTTGTGTAAATTCATATTTTAAGAGTGCAACTTAATTTATTTGCTGAAAGAAGTTGCTGATTTTATTTCTCATTTAAATGGCTATAACATATGTTTTACATTACACAGGTATTGAGAAATTAATTTTTTATTCTTTGTGAACTGTTCTAAAATCCTTAGCTGAGATGGTCTGTATATAAGTGCAGATGTCATTGCTAAATTAATGCAGAATAATAGTGGTGTTTCACCATATGTTGGTTCGTCTGAAAAATGAAGACGTCTTGAGGTTCATGAGCTGCTCAGTTCCTTGATACTGTCCACCATGCTTTATAGATCAGCATGTACATATGACTTGTACATTAGCCTTGACAATTTAAAAAAACCAAAACCAAACAACCAAAAAAACCACCCCAAATTAACTCTAGATTGCCATTACAACTTTTTAAAACAGTCACTTACTAATACGGTTAAAGTATACGTAATAGAATTAGCTGCCTGTCTGATGCTTTTTATACTGATCATTTAGTGTCATCAGTATAAAATTAATTCATGAGTAGCTTCATCACACTTCAGCTATGTGGTCTTATTTCACATACATAACAAGCAGCAGCTCTGCCTCTAATTACTTGAAATGCTAATCTCTGATAAATGTTTATGCCGCTTCAGAACCGTTTTGTATATACAGGCAATTTTTCATTATTGGGAGCCATGGGAGTCTTTTATAACAGAAAAACAGATGTAAAGTGACAACTGGTTTGTGCAGAGCCGCCTTCCACATGCCCCCGCTAGCACAGATACTATAGCAGGCTGCGAAGCAAGCTGGGATCTGGAAGCAATGTAGTTACGCCTGTCTGGTGAAGGACTTCAGTTGGCCATACAGCACCCAAGTTGCCCTGCGTGAAGTCTGCTGCATTATTTGCACCCATAGCAGACTTGGTTTGTAACCTTGGACAGTCAGGCCGGGCTTAAAAGAGAATGGACTCTGCCAGAGGATGAAATACCCTGGCTCCAGTTTATGCCAGCTAAAGAGCTTTAGAGCGCTGAGCACTATAGTGTATCTTCCTTCTCTGTTTTTATGTCAACCATGTTCTTTTTATGCAGGATTGTTGCTTTTTTAACGAATGTCGGGAAAACTGGGTGAGCGCTTTAGGTGGAGCACGTTACCTAATATCTCTCTGTTCTCCTGTTGAGCTGTTATACTTGAGATGAGTGTATCCTCACCATTGCTGGAGAGAGACGACACTCAGTCTCCATTGTCCCTTGTCACGCAGGGTTCAAAAAAACAGGAAACAACTGAAACTCTTCCCGATTTCAATTTTGAATGTTCAGGTGTGGCACAAGTTTGGTGTGTGTCCTGTGTGCTTTTGGGGCTTTTCATCTTTATTTTTTTCCTCCCACCTTGTTCTCTGCTGTGGTCTGATATTTTCTTTCTCTTAGTTAAGTAGCTTTTTGATTTGAAATAAAAACAGTTCTGTGCCTTCATAGCAGTTGTTTGATGTCCCGCTTATAGGCTCCTTTCTTGTTATTACCTTGGTTCTATCACTGGTGCTTTCTCTCTCCTGGATTACAGACATTACAGGCAGCATTGCTGAGCTGTAAGAAAGTAGTTGTCAGGTTTAATACGGGTTATGACGTCTGTTACAAACACTGTTTTTAGGGTTTGTGTTGCCTGCAAGAAGGTTCCTGAGAATTTTGCAGAAACTATAGACTAGAGCGTCTTTTTATCAAGAATGTTCTTTGGGTCTGGGAGTTACTGTCAGTCAATTTTTTAAAAGATTCTCAAATGCAAACTTACACTGAGAAAGGAGATTTACTCTCTGCTCTGTGCCACAACACAGAACACGTTGTCATGTCACTGACCTTGAATTCTCTCCTAGATTTTTCGGTCTTAACTTCGCTTTTTTCATCTGTCTGTTCTTTTGATCTGATGTCATTTTTTTTCAGCTGAGACAACATACATGATGATTCCAGTGTGAGGGAAATCCAGATCATTGGTTCAGGCCAATGTCCTCTGAGCACAGTGAAATATTATGAAAAGTTCTGTGTACTTCTCTTGCCTTTTATTTTTCATGCCATCATCCATTTGTAGTACCTCTTTTCAGGCATTTTCTGCTTGAAATGTGCTTAGCACACTGATACTATAGTTTCCATTTATCACTTTTAAACTTTCTCCTTTGGGAATATACTGCATGTATGCTTTCTGGGGAAAAAAAAAAAAAAAAAAAAAAGTAAGTCTCAATGCCCTCCAGGACAAGCAGAAATTGCAAACTTAATGATGTAGCTTTAGTGTTCTGTGCTTGGCTGTTGCAGAAGGAAGGCTTTTTGAGGATGCCTAATTTGCAGCAGGGAAGACTGGCTTGGTGAATACTTATAGCTTAGAGTGATCGTAGTGGTTATTTCCACAATACTTCTATTCATGCATCTGTAGGAAATTCAGTAGACAACTTACTTCTGTTAGTTGAAGATGAAAAAGGTTATCAGGTGGTTTGATAGTGAGCTGGAGGTACAGGTGTTGTTGAAGGATTACTGTCAGCAGATATCTCTGTAATCTAAGTAGAGAGACACAATAAATTCTGATTGGAAACTGAAGCCTAATAAATTCGTATTAAAAGTAAGGCAGATTTTATTAACAGACAAAGAAATTAGCTATCACAATAACATACCTAGAACTTTGATAGATTACCGAACTGTGAAGTGTCTGGACACCTTTGAGGTTTGTTTTTACAGATCAGATTAGATGATGCAGGTGGTTCCTTGTGGTCTTAAAATCAGTACTGAATCACATACGTGGCTTCTGTGAAATCAGTAGCAGTCTTCCACTATAAAGGAGATTTTTATAAAATTTGTCTCCGTTTCAGTTATGAGCTGCCAACTGCCCTGTAAACGTAATCACCAAGATTTTAAATTAAGTTTTATATACTCTTTTTCTCTTTCCTTTTGCAATTTCACATTATAGCTTGGCCTACAGTTGTTGATTCCCTGCTCTACAAAGATGAGCTTCACCATGCTCTTGGTAGGTGATATCAGTGCCATCACTGACCAGGGTAGGAATGAGTACTCAGCCTGTGGGTAAAAGGTAAGTCAGCTTTTATTCACTATGGCACAGCTCTCTAAGGTCTTCTTTTTATTACTCTTTGGAGAACTGGTCAATAATAAAGTGTGGTTATACCAGTCTTAGTTCCTAACATGTTTAAAATTTGGTTAGGTCCTTGAAGTAGAGGATTTATTTATTTTTTTTTTAAATGTTACAATTATTTTTTTCTCTATTTTCCCCAATATGTGTGTTCATCCTGTCCTCCCTTCCAAAAGGCAGACTTCATGGGTAACCAGCCTGCTGCTGCCTGTGACTACTTTTACCTGGAGCCAGTAGCCAAACATAATTTCTGTCCAGTTGCCCAGCTGCAGCTGTGGTCAAGAGAAGTAAGGAAGCATGTGAGAGGGATTACTGAATACTGAATATGGGTAAAAAGCCATACATTCCGAAGCAGTACTTCTGATTTCTGCCATTCATTCCCTGTACAGCCGGAAAAGAAACTATTCAGTGCTTGTTAGTCCCTAGCTCACTTAGCTAAAAGCTCTTATGGTGTCCCGCTGCCCAGCAAATTTTGCCAAGATTTTAACTGAGAGGCAGCACCTTTGTCTCCACTCAGGCTCCTGGAGAGTGAGCAGAACAGGGAGGTCACGGTTCCTGGCTACTCTGCTCTCCGCTGCACATGCAGCCCAGCCTGCAGTCCCCCTGGTGCTGCTCACCTGTCATCACACCCGTCCCCTGGCTCCTGCACCTATCCAAGAAACGGACTATAAAACCTGGATCATTTTCTTTTAGCTTAAATTGCCTGGTGTCTTATACTCAAGGACCTATCTAAGTTTTAAAAGTGTGATTAGGGAATATAAAAAGTATAAGCACCCTTTATATAAAAGCCAACTTACATTTTCCCCATCAGTTGAGTGATTTTTCCAGCCCAAGTCATCAACACTGGTTTCCCTGTCTGTATGCACTCTGGGACGTGTTTCTGGGAGTCCACAATCTCCAGCTATGTGCTTTTGTGAACTAACTTGCAAAAGGAAAAAGATAAACTTCTTACTAGTATGAATATCTGCCAGGTCAGACATGTATATTGGTAAAAGATTTTACTCAAGATCTGATAATGGTCTAAACCTGAATCTTGCATTTGATGGAACAAAATGGTCCTTGACAGCTCTATTATTTTGCATTGAAAATGGAAATGTTAAGCCTTTTAATTAAACGATAGTATTTGTTCTGTGGGGTAGCTGATCTTAGCTGATCTCATTCAGTCAGATCACATCAGAAGTCAGAATGGTTGAGAATGGTTGTACTTTTCACGCGCGGATCCTTGAGCATGTTAGGGTAAGCGTAACACTCCTGCTTTATAAGAGGAAAACAAGTGCAGAGAACTTGTTCAGCACATCTGAGATTCAAGAATTAAATTTTAATCTCTAAGCTGTCTTTTGGTCTGCAGGCTCAGTAAGTGGAGGTTTCACATAGGCTCTTTAGCCTAATTTATCAGCAGCAGCATTACATCTTTAACCTTTAGCTGTCCCGTATTTTACATTCTGTGTTCTAAACAAAAACATCAAAAATTAATCCCTGTTTTGTTTTGTTGGTTTGTTTTTTTCCTCACTGCTGTATATGTTGCAAGTCAAGAACACACAATCATACATTACTTTTTATACTACACGGGCCTTTGGTATTCTAACTGTAAGGTGTCTAGGAGCCATAAATGAGTCATTCTTCTGGGCTTTGATCTGCCAGCAAAGTTTGGGCTGGAGTTCCTTCAGCTTGCTGGCAATGGTATAGTTAAGCGTGACACTATAGTCTGAATGCTTCCCCAAGTGCTAACGTTTATCTTATCTTCAAGGAGTGCTGAAAAGGGAGTGATGGCAACTTATTTTCTGGCCTGAACTATCTTAAGCATAGAGCTAATAAGTGACTTGGCCATAGTTACACAGGAAGTCTGGGGCAGAACTTTGAATTGTGTGGAGCTTAAAACTCTTGAATTTCTACTTTCCAGTATTTTGTCAGCATGACAGTCTTGTTTGTTTGTTTGTTTGTTTCTGTTGCACTCATATTTCAGTAAAAACTATTTCAGTGGACTTAGGCAAGCAAGAAATCTGGGTGACTGTATGTGAGGGAACTGTTCTATTTCCTGTGTACAGCTCTGGCAGTATTTATACGCCGTTTAATCACTGAGATTATGTTGAAACTGTTGAATAGGTCTGTGATTGTTCTGACCCTAGCAGATCTCCTTGCCATACTTCATTCAGTGATTTCCTCAAGGGTAACATTTTTATTTCATCTAGCCTTTTCTTATGATAGTATATGTATGCTCCATGGGTAAGTGCTAGGGAGTAGGGGTTTTTTGGGGGGGTTGTTGGTTTTTTTGTTTTTGTTTTCCAGAAAGCTGCTTGGCATAAATCGTTTTCATTAAAAGACTGTCAGTTAATTATACTGAGTTATTTTTTCGATTCATCACCCTGTGAAATAATGACATCAGATATGGTAGCCCAGACCAAACCAAAACAAGACACCCTGCCCCAGCAGCCAATTTGACCAGCATTGGTTGTGTGTTTCTATCTCTTAAGGTCAGTCAGTTGAACTACAGATTAACCTCCATTATTTTGACTAGGACTAGAGTCAGACTAATTGACCTTAAGTGGCTCGTCTTGCTGCCTTTCAACATTGACATGTTGGGGTGATTCCAGTCTTTGCAGTTTCCCTGTTGTCCAGCATCCAGTCGTCTTGGTCTCCTCAGCTATTCCAGGCTGGAAGAACCACGTTATCTAGGGTTTCTGATGTACGTGTTCATCCCTAGTTGAACGTGGTATAGCCCCACTGAGCAACAGACAGAAAAATACTTCATCCTCCTGTAAATACATCGTTCTGTATCTCTCCAGGGAATAGAACTACCTGCCTCCTCAGCACCATCGCTGACTATTCAGTCATGTCCATCCAATCGACGTCTTGTAACGTTGCTGCTGCTCAGTGCAGCATATAAGGATGTCATTCCCCGTGGTCCTTAAAAGAACTGCTTGAGCCAGCCAATGGATTGCAGACATTTAGTGGGGGATGTTCACAGAATCACAGAATGGCAGGGGTTGGAAGGGACCCCGGGAGATCATCTAGTCCAACCCCCCTGCTAAAGCAGGCTCACCTAGAGCAGGTTGCACAGGACATCATCCAGGCAGGCAGCCTGTGCCAGTGCTCTGACACCCTCAAAGGAGAGAAGTTTTTCCTCATATTCAACTGAAACCTCTTATGTTTCAGTTTGTGCCCATTGCCCCTTGTCCTGGCGCTGGGCACCACTGAGAAGAGTCTGGCTCTGTCCTCGTGACATCCACCCTTGAGATATTTGTATGTGTTGATGAGGTCCCCTCTCAGTCTTCTCTTCTTCAGGCTGAACAAGCCCAGCTCCCTCAGCCTTTCCTTATAGGGGAGATGCTCCAGTCCCTTCATCATCTTTGTTGCCCTCCTCTGGACTTTCTCTAGGAGTTCCTCATCTTTCTTGAACTGTTGAGCCCAGAACTGGACACAGTACTCCAGATGGGGTCTCACCAGGGCAGAGTAGAGGGGGAGGAGAACCTCCCTCAGCCTGCTGGCCACACTCCTCTTAATGCACCCCAGGATGCCATTGGCTTTCTTGGGAACAGGGGCACATTGCTGGATTGGGGGAGTGGGAAGACAGCAGTTTTATTGTTGTTGTTCTAGGAGAAGGCTGGGAAAAGCATCAGGAAGACTTTGTCCTTTGTGGATTTGGCAGTATGCCACTTAGTCTTGACTGTAGTGTGGGATTCCTTGACTGTACTTGAGAGGAGTTTTTCATTCCTTTTCCCATGGCCTGCTGTAATGTTCATCATCCTTTTATTTTGAGATGTTCTTTGAGGAACTGAGCCTCTGCGCAAGAATTGCGGGAGCGTTAATACCTTTCCCCCCTCACTCAAGTGAATTTCCTGTAGTTCTGCTGCTTTGAAGCTATTGCCTGCATTTGTTTTCCAGCATCTCTGTGCAGAGTACAAAGGTCTGCTTTTGTTGTCGCCGGTGAGGTAGTCTGCACATATTTGAGACTCACTTTTTAAAAAACCACAAACAAAAGACCGCTTTTTTTTTTTTTTGGTAGCGGGGTACTATAATTGGCCTAGTTTGAGGAGATCTCGCTGTCCTGTACAGCTCAAAACTGACTGGAAGGTTGTGGGGCTACAGAATAGTGGCAGATGGTGACACGCAGCTAATAAGCAGGGGCTTGTGCTCAGCTGTCACTCAGAAGGCCCCGAAGCTTTTGAACAGAGGATTTCCATCCTGCCTCCTGCCAGGAGTTCAAGCCCTCAAAGTGAAAATCCTGTGAGATACCATCTTCAAAGTAGCAGAATTAGAGGTAATTTCTCCAAAGCACCGTATTTTCAAAAAATAAATAAATAAAATAAATAAATGCCACCGCCTAAAAGGGCGTACCTTCTTCAGACAGCTAACTCGGAAG